AATTAATATTTTTTAGTTAAAAAGCCTAGGCAGAGGGGCAAGAGTACCTAGCACCTTTGATATTAATATACACATTATTATTTGATCCCTGCACATAACTGTTAGTAGGTGTGATTTCCACCACTTCACAAATAAAGAAGCAGTCCTGCTGTGACTTGTTCAAGGTCATACAACTGACAAGAGCTTGATGTTGGTAAGTGTTGACGTCAGTATGGGTTTCTAGCCCCGTCTGGCTTTAAAACTTACACTCCTTCCTCCTGCCTTCAGCTGAGTGTTCTTGGTAGGAGACTTTCCAAGTACAGGAGGTCTAGCAGTGGGCACTAGCCCACCCTCTCCCCCTTCTTACAGAGGTGGGCTGTTGATGTAGAGCGCTGTGGTGCTGGGGAGATGAGCAGGCAGTGACTTCAGCTGACAGGGATTCTGCCTTAGCAAACGATTTAGGTTTGTTAACAGCTTGACTTCTCCTTGCTGGCTTCATTCAAAGCTTGTTTGTTCACTCAGTAATCTAACACTTACTCATAGGTGCTGTAATTCAGGCCTTGGGCTAATTACCTGATTTAATCCTGACAATAACGCTGTTGTGCAACTTTTATTATCCCCATTTTACAGATGAGGCTATTAGGATCAGAAAGATGAAATGATTTGCCCAGGGTCTCCCACTAGGGAGTGGCAGAGCCAGAGCCAGCATTGAAACCCAGATCTAGTTCTGTGTTGAGTTCAGAGAATAGTTGCCAGAGGGCCTCTGGCAAGTGTCTCATCGCAAATATGGGTCAAATGTGAGATTACCCAGAGTGTACATATTCCTCCTACTGGGGCAGATGCCTCATCTACCAGGCAGATACTCCAGGCTCACATTTCTCTCACATTTACCTAAGCAGGCCGGAACTAAAACCTGCATAGTATTCAGGCAGCCAAATCCTTCTAGCCTGCAGAGCATTCCGCATCCCCTCTGGGTTACTGGTGTCTTCCTCTGCTTTACCCATCACTTTCTCCCCAGAGTTAGGGCCTTGCCTCCCACACAGCAGGACTGCTTTCTCTGCCCCATGCTGATCCCCTAGTTTCTTCAATCCCTGTATATAGCACAGGTTTTTGTTTTGTTTTTGGAGGCCGAGTCTCACTCTATCACCCAGGCAGTGACATGATTATAGCTTACTGCAGGCTCAAATTCCTGGGCTCAAGTGATCCTCCTGCCTCAGCCTCCTGAGTAGCTGGGATTATAGGCATGAGCCACCATGCCCAGCTAGTACAAGTCTTTAAGTCTTACTAAATTCATATGTAGTCAACAGATATTTGTTGAGCCTCTTCCCTAATGCATGCCAAGCATTGTATAAATGGTAGATATTGTCCATGTTCTTATAGAACTTAGAGTCTAGCAGCAAAGAAAATAGGAATCGAGCAAATAATTACAAGTGTGACAAGCTTTAGAAAAAGAGATGCAGGACCATGGGCACATAAAACAAGGGGAAATAAGATGAGGGACCAGGGATCAAGAAAGTCCTCCCAGAGGGCAAAGTTGGAGGGAAGTTATTCCATAAATATGTAGAACACAGTGATTCTGGGGAGATGAGTAAGCATCTAATCACAGCATTGAGTTGATTTGAGCCTTTATCCTAAGAGCATTGGGAAGCCAGTGACACTTTAAGCACTGTGGATAGAGCATTCTGATTACAGTGTAGAGAATGGTTTGGAATAGGGTGAAAGGATACTGGAGAGAGCAGCTGTGAAGTTATGGTAGTAGTTCCTAATAGAGAAGATGGGAGTTTGGACTAAGGCAACATTGGAGGGAGTAGACAGAAGTAGATGGATTCAAGAGGTATGTAGGACATAGAATTGTCAGGACTTGGCCATCAGAGGTGGGAGATGAAGGAAAGGAAGAAGTCAAGGAAGGTGCCCCAATTTAGTCTTAAGCAATTAGGTAGATGACCAGGTTTCATCAGCTTGAGTTTAAGATGCCCATGAGACATCCAAGAAGAGAGATTGAAGAGACAGTTGGATATACGAGTATAGAGCTAAAAGGAGAGGTATAGATTAAGAGAAGTTTGTGTTTTCGTCATGTTAGTTTGAACCATATAGACTCATCATTTTTATAGGTTAGGAACTATTAACTATTGGTAATTTCATATGTTTTTGTCTGGT